ACTACGTTCAATTCAAGAAACACGTTTTGATTTAAATGAACCACCTGTTCGTATTCGAATATTAGCTAAAATACCTATTGATAGATATAATAATTTATGGAAATGTCAAATTGAATGTGGTCATGAAATAATTGCAAAAAATTTAACTGAAAATTTAACAAATACAAATGATTTTCATACATATCCATATTTAATTTCAAAAGATAATTATTCAATTCGAACATTTCCTGATGCTGTTTATATGGATTTAGCTATTGATGGAATTCGTTCTCGTAGTAAACTTGATCAATGTGGTCTAGCTCATGTTGAACAAAATGGACAAGAAGAATCAATATTTATTCGTGTTAAACTTTCTAGTCTTTCTCTTGAAATAAATCATCAATATTATTTAAGTGAACGTTATGTAGATTTTAATACAAAGAAAGCTATTCAAGCATTAGAACAAGCTACTCAATTAACTATGGAAATATTAGATGATCCTAGACAATTAAAAAAGCCGGAAGCAATTGAAAAAATAAGTAAAACAATTCAAAAAGAAATATCAAATATATTTTCAAAAAGAGAACCAACAATTAAACCTGAAGGTTTACATATGCTTAATAAAGCACAACAAGAAGCATGTGAAAAGGTTAAAAATCAACGTGTTACCCTCATTTGGGGTCCACCGGGTAAGCATATATATTTTTTTCTTTTATGCAATTGATTAAAACAAGATATTTCATCATCTTGTTGGAAGGAAGATCCACTATCGAGAAAAGTCTCATCTGTAAGGACATCCCTAAAATTTTACTTGGATTTGAGTAATTACTGCTATCTAAGAGTCATTGCACGAGAACAACATTCGACTTCCAGTATAGCTGCTCAATCGATTATTTCTACTGATATTCGCGCAATATATGAGGGATAAATCGATTCCATTATTTACCTCATATGTTTTTCTTAATTCTAACTATGTCAAATCTAGAACAGGATTTAGTATGTCTTATGGTTTCATGAACAAACTGATAGCCATATACGTATAGCCTCTCCAGTTATTCAATAGTGTTCGGATTCTAATCTTAACATCTACCGATTAACAAACACACAGTTCTGTTGAATGTAAATAAACAGACATAAATTTCTATCTCAACAATAGCTTACCATCTTGGAACATATTATGATCCGAATGAAATAGTCTTAACAACTTCCAATTTTTTTGTATTAGAATAAAACTCTTCTTGCAAAAAGAAATTTTATTTATAAAATTTCATGAGTCTAGAACTTCTTTGTAATAATCTTTGACGCTACTATCTCTATATCATTTTTTATAGGTACCGGCAAAACCTATTGGTCAGGTGTTACTGTTTTCCAAATGTTAATGTTTTCATCGTCACCATTATGTGTATTAATCACAGCTTGTACTCATGCAGCAATTGATAATCTTTTATCATCAATTAATCATTTGAAAAATCTATTTTCTTTATCACCACAATTTCCTCGATGGTATCAATTAGCTAAAGAATTAATTGTATTAAAAATAGAATCAAATAATTATCGTAATCTTTCATCTTCATATGGTAAACGTTATCTAGTTGTTGGTTCAACAGTATGGACATTACAAAAACTTGATCGTTCAATTGTTTTTGATGTTATATTTATTGATGAAGCAACACAATTATTAACTAGTGATACTGTATTAGCTATTAATCGTTTAGCTAATCATCAAGAATCACGATTAATTGTTGCAGGTGATCCATTACAATTACCACCTGTTAAACGTTGTACTTATCCACCTTTACCTTATCCTATACCTGATTTATTTTCATCTGTATTTCATTGTTTATTACGTGATGAAAATAATTTTCCAATATCATTACATACTGAAAAACCATTTGAACAAATTTCACGTTGTCCATATTTATCTATTTTTAATGAAAATCATCGTAAGTTTATTTGATTATCACATGTCTCTTTTTTTTGTCATTATTAATTATTGTTTCTATTAGGTATGAATGATCAATTATCGGATTTTGCTCGTCTTTTATACGGTGAAAATTATCGTCAAGGTCGTTCAAGACCTTTACTTTCTATTAGTTCTATTAATGATTCAAATACATATCTTCTTGGTTCACTTCTTCAACCTTCGAGTTCCATTTATACACTTCTTGTTGATTCATCATTATTTTCAACTTGTAGTGGAGATCTTGATCTTGAATCACATCTTGTTTATTCTCTTATTAATGAACTTATTTTACGTATATCACCTTCATCAATATTTATCATAACACCGCATCGAATGCAACGTTCTGCTATTCAACAAAAACTTAAGAATAATCCATTTTCAAATGTTCTAATAACATGTGATACAGTCGAAAGAATGCAAGGTAAAGAAGCTCAATGTGTTATACTTTGTATGTTATATAGACAACGTGAAATACTAGAAAATGAATTAGATTTTATTTATAATCGACAAAGAATTAATGTTAGTATAACACGTGCACAACAATTATGTATTCTTATAACATCTCAATTATTATTTAATCAACCACCATTAGAATTATTTATTAATGGTAATACAAGAAATGCTTATACTTTATTAAGTAATTATATTAATAAATCTATTATACGATTATTAGATAATTATGGCAATATTAAATAAATTTATTACAATATTTTTTTTTCAGTGTAAAATAAAATATAATCAAATTTGTTTCTTTTTAGTATTCCGAGTGTTAAAATAAAATTGTTGTAATATACATTGATGTTTTTGCTTCAAACGTATATTTAGAAGACTATCATGTCACAAAAAGATAGATATTTTTTTATAATTGATCAGAGCGAGACTTTGATAATTTCTTAATGTATAACTATAATACTTTTCAATTATTGAGTATACAAAAAGTAAAGCTAATGGCAATTATTTTCTTTAAAATTACTTCTTATTCATCTTCGTCAGTCTTTCATAGAATCTCATTTTTAGAAATCTCAGCTCAGTCCAAATTTTTTTTTTCTAACAGACAGGGTATGATGGTGAGCGATCTCTTCATTCACACCCACACCCTGGATTCAAGAGGGGTGTCCAAGGAGTGAGGAATAGGAATTCCTACTCAGTTTCCTGACATTTCCTTAAATGCTAAAATTAAAAAAATACAATATCCACGGTATTTATTACTCTTACACTCGTTTTCATCAAGAAATTTGTGCACATGAACGTATGAGTACGAAAATTATTGCAAAAAAAGCATTAACTTGACTTTCATGAATGAGGGAACCGTGATGGAAATAATGGTCAATTCCCATTTCCCCAAGGAATTATCATAGCTACACTGACAATTCCTCTACAAATTAGGAATTCCTATTTCTCAGTCCTTGGACACTGCTGACCTAACGATACGGAACAAGTCTTTTACAAGTTGCACACTTAGAATCTATATAAAGAAGCGAAATATTTTTATAGTATGAATACTCCATGAAAGTCATTACAAGAAAGGCAATCTTCAAATAATTATTATCAATACGCCAGCAACTTTCTCTAAAATATACAAGTCCTGTCGACATTTATTCGTGGTGACACCAAAGATTGTTATTATTTGAAAAATGATTATTTCAGCATATTTCAGTCGATATTCAACAGCTTAATCATACTATAGCTTAATCCAAGTGATTCATAAATCTAAATTAGATAGATTTTTCGTTATACACTTGATTTTTTTGTAATAGTCGTAATTTGAAGCGAAAAGCGATTCTGTATCTGAAGGTATTCTCTTTTAAATGATGATAAGGAGAAGTATATTTGCTTATTCTTATCATTCGTTCTTGCTGGTTAACCATTAGATAGCTCTTTTTTACTGCAGCATTGCTTTTCTTTTCTTATATTACTAACGGTAATCTTATTTCATCTTACCTCTATGGTGAGCTGTATGTTTTTTTTTTATAGTTTCAGTAATGCATCATAAACTGATAATAGTGCATCCAGAATTCGTACATCATCAGGCAAATATCTTAGAATCCTTATCAGGTCGACGATTATGGACTTCGTATACGTCTGTAAACGGTCATATTTTAGCGGTTCACATGGTCCAGTATTACGATCGCATATCATCATGACCGTATACGGACAAATACGATCATTTATGGAGAAATAAGGAACAAAACAGAGACTGCATATGGACTGCGTATAAGAGGATCGTAAATGATCGTTTCTTTCTTCATATATCAGCGTATCTTTCTGTATACGGTCGTTTACGACCATGCTTGTTTGATCTGGATTTTTTCGAATAGTTTTTCGATTTCAAAGTGAGGTCAGAACTGTTCGCTCGATTTTAGCTATCTACTCGTACTAATACGTGGATTTTGGCTTTCAATACTTTAGTTTTCTAGAAAATGAATCTCAGACATGGAAGGCACAACATAGTCTATCGTAAAAGGTATGCTGAAAAATCTACTTTCTGTAATTTTCATCCAATCAAGCCCTTTTACAAGGCTACAGTAGCCAAATCAAAGAATGTAAGTCTTATCGCCCCAACGAACATTATCGAAAAAAAAGATCACCGAAATAAATATCATCGAAATAGAGATTATGAATATAAACATTCGAATTTCTTATAAATAAGGATTTTAGTCTTGAAACACACCTACATTCGACACCTTTTACGACTCTACGTTTCCATGTGAACTAGTTGACCGTGAAATTCTGAAATAAACTAGTTCACTTTGTCTAGTTTACTCTCCAGTTTTAGAATAAACTAGTTGCCCTTTTTTGAAGGCAACTCAATTTCATCGGCAACTCCAACATCTATGCTTAGATTCATGGGATCATTGTATTCATTTACACGTGCATGTCAGATAGTTTCATTTTCTCACTTTATTAGCTATTGTTATTAAGAAACAGGAAAAGAACGAATATACTATCACAAATCATTATTCAAAAATTGTTTTGAATAACAATTTCTTTAAAGAACTATGTTATATTTTTAGTATAAGTAATTCTACTCTTAATTTATTGCTTTGTAAACTAGAACATGTTTTGGCTTGTAATATCTATTATTCTTGGAATAATATCATATATAATTTACAAAAAATACATTAAACCAGTGGAACTTATTTCAAATGTCCTTCCATACGATCATGCTATAATAATCGGAGGCAGTCTTGGAGGAATGGTTACTGCTGCATATTTATCAAAATATTTCAAACGAATAACAATTATTGAATCCGACAATGTATTAAATGATACATTAATGAAATCTACACCCAGTGAAATCTTAGATTATCGTTGTCGTCTTGAGAGTCCAACATCAATAGGACGTTCAGGTGTTAGTCAAATATATCAGTTACATGTGCTTGAATGTGAAGGACGCAAAATAGTAAATGAATTATTTCCTCAATTTCAAGAGAAATTATTCAATGAATATGATGTTCGACTGTATTCATTGAAAGACGAAGGAAGATTCGTTACTAATGGTGTTGTATTAGATCAGAATTTAACTGAAGATTTTCTTTGGTTAGGTGCTGATCGCTTTACATTAGAAGTAGTTTTGAGAAAAGAATTATTTTTACAATATGGACATAAGCTTGAATGGAAATCTAATACAAGAGTAACACAATTAATTGTCGATCAATCATTAAATATTGTTAAAGGTGTAAAATATCGATCTAAGGAAAATATAGGTTCATCATTAGTGGACATGTATGGTGATTTTATTATTGATTGCACTGGTCGTAATACATCATCAATCAAATGGTTAAAAGAAAGTCTCAATTTAATTGTACCAACTCGACAAATACATCTTGGTATTGGGTATGTTACATTTATTGGTGAAAGACTTCAAAGTGGAGATTCCTCGTTGGATTCATTGCCAATGATTGGTATCACAGCCAATTCTCCCGAAAAAAATACAGGCTGCTTTATAAGTCCAATCCGTATGAAAAAAACTACGGATAAAAATTCATTAGGTACATTATCAACGATTGCAATTCATTGTGTTAATTTCGAATATCCACCAAATGATTCGTATGAAAATTTATTAGAATGGGCAAAAGAAAATTTGACTCCAGAGCTTTATTTGATATTAAAATCGACAAAAGTATGTAGTCCATTAGTGCCATATCGACGGGCAATCGATGATCGAAAATATGTTGAATTATTAGGTAAAAAATGGCCACAAAATTACATATTATTAGGTGATGCGATGTGTACATTTAATCCTCAATACGGACAAGGTATGACACATGCATGTAGACAGGCCAGAGAATTGGACAAAATATTTGCCGCAAATTGTTATAAGTTAAAAGATATTTCTCATATTTTTAACCGTCGTGCTTCTGCAATTAGTGACGAATGTTGGCTTCTTTCCACTACAAGTGATTGGAAAACACCAACATTAAAAGTGATAGAAACTGATATAAATGGTAATATTAAAATTTATGAACGAAATAATCATTCTACTGGTACTAATTACTCTCAACCGCGAATACCTTTAATGATTAAGTTTTTACAATGGTATACTCATTGGTTTTTTCAATGTGCATCGAAATCGGGAAAATTATCTACGGATTTTTATCGTATCATGAATCAGCAAAGTAGTACATCTATATTATTGAAACCAACAACATTCTTAGCAGTCTGTCGTACTGCATTGATGAATTATTTTAATTTATCTAAATAATTATTCAGTTAACTATATTTCTTTGTTTCTTCTTATAAAGAAACGTTCGTAACGTGTACACCTTTCAGACTTCAACTTTTTATAGTCTTAGGGTGAATGTGGGCATAGATACTGGTTGAGTTTGGGGGGAGGTGTGAGTGCGGGTGTGTGGGCTTAGGTGTCGATATGATATTCCATTCACTTACACCTACACTCATACCACGGCATGTCGATAGGTGTGGATCTTGATGTGAGTGTTATTGGGTATAATTTAGGATGCAGATATGATTGTAGGTTTTGTCTTCACCTACGTCCACGCGCGACTCCAAGGGCAATAGTTTTGGAGGGCAAGAAATGCTCTATTGAATGAACTCAAAGCGAAGTTTTTAATACGTTGTAAAATGCTCTAAAAAGAGGCAAACATTTCGATCTCTTTATTATGGCTCACCTGTTATAATTCTAACTGATCAGTATAGAAAACTGAATGTTGATCGTTGAGATAATATTTATTGGCGAAATGAAATGAACAGACATTGGCTAAATTTAGATTTATTGACATACACGTTTTCATCAAATTCTAAAAGAAAATTTTCTATTTAATTTTGTAGTTGAATCGATATCTGATTAATTGCAATAATATTCTTCTTTCTTCAATGTTTTCAGTAAAAATGAATAGAATCATACACGTTTTGACCAAATAGAAGTCTACTTTTGAGGATCATTAAAATCATAAGAAAGAAAAAAAGAATTTTAAACACATTGTTATTTAAGATCGATAGACGAAAATGAACAGAGAAATTCGATTGAAAAATGCTCAAAAACGAACAATTGTGAATTAATATAAAGATTAGTAGTACTAGCATACTTAATAACTCGTTAGAATAATTTTTATTTATGAGGCAGCAACAAAATTTAAGATTGAATTTTGACAACAAAGTATTCAATGTTCTATTAGCGGATTGTCCGTACTATGTAAAATGTTTAGTAAAGAATTGTTCTTTTTAATAAAAAAAAAAAAAAAGTAGTGTTTTGTTATTATTGAAATAAGAAGTGCATCGCACAGTAGCAAAAACAGATAATATATGTTTCTAATATCGAATAGAAACTTCCGAGAAGGATAACGATAATAACTTTGAACTCATTAATACATTTAGAATTTTAGAAACTTTTTCGAATTTTCAATTATTCAAAAAAATGTTTTCATCGTTCTACATGTCTATAGCGTAGTTATACTTGCGTTCTATGAATTTTTATTCGTATTTTTCAATAATCATTCGAGATGATGTCATCAAAAAGCTATATAATTTTGGTGAAAATTAATTAAAGAGACTTGAGGATGTGGATGTATAGTTTTGGGTTAAGAGAACGCTCACAATCATAACATCAAGACGCATTTCGCTAAACTTATGTTCATATTTTCCTCTAGATGCTACTTTCTTCTTTAACTGTCTACTTGTAAATTCAATGCATTGTATGGATTCTGTCAATTAGAAAGCGTTCATTGGAAGATAGCCAGCTTCGTTTAATCATTGAGTATGATTCTAGTGTATGAAAACATAGGAATGCATGCTAACGCATTGGAAACTAGAATGGAAACACATGTGTATGCATTTATTTATATTAATATCCATAAACTATTAACGTTCTCTAAACTCGTTCAAGAGAAACAGTGGTACATGCGTCTGCCTGCATTTCCAATGTGTTTCAATGCAAAAGTGAATCAGAACGTCGATATGAGCAGAGGAAACATATTTCACTGTGCCTAGATACGATGGACTCGATGTCTTTCGTTAGACGCACATATGTCATGGTTTCGCTCAGACATGAGCAGTTTCGCTTCTGGAGCGAAGCTAGCTCTACGGACCGGGCGATCCAAAGTTGGAACTGCCCATCTCTGGTTTCGCTTCATTTTCATTGAAAAATTATCTTTTAAGATTCTTTGAAAGTGAACAAACACGAAATTGAATGATGACAACCATCAAAATAGGATCTATATTCAGTTTATTTTTCCTAATATAAACGAACATAAATTCATTATACTACATTATGTAGATAGCAAGACTTTACATATACATCATTACAAAAAAAAAAGACTTCAGGAGGAAAATATCTTAATTTTACATTTTCTATGTAATCAATTTATTATTGATGTTAATAATTACAGACACACTACTGTATTTTTGAATTATAGTGCGCATTTAATAAACATATAAAACTGCACATGATTGTCTTTCTAAGCATTATTCTATAAAATTAAATCACAAAAAGAAATGGCCTTCAATTAGCCTGAATGAATCATCATTATTCGACTTTGCCTGTATTTTACTGTAATTTGTTTTGTCGTTCTCATATAAATGAATATACATCAAAATAATTTCTACTATTTTTTTTTCTATTCTGTTGGTAGTGAAACACATACGCCTATACTGCAACGAGGCTGTATTGTATAAGTTACGAATGAGTATAATAAAATACAGCCCAATATTTACCTAGTTGAATGTCTTTTCTACATAGGTAAGTGAAACGAAAAAGAGGCAAAGCATTTTAATATTTCTGTAAAGAAAAGGATGAAAGAATATTGGATGTTTGTCGATACATTTAATTCATGTACTATTACACAGAACAGTTTCTTTTTTTCTGTAAGTATCATTGTTTTAGCGTTTTTTTGATCATAGATAAGTTCGAATATTCTCAACATTAGATAGAAACTTTCCTTTCGAGAACTATTTAACGAATCTGACAGTTTTTGAAATATCTTGTTTTGGTAGATGTGGGTGGATGTAAGTGTGTTTTTTTAGAATAAATAAATAAATAAATACATATAATGAGTCTAGATCGAAATATGTACAATTCACCTTATTCACCATACAAAGGTTACCACTCTCATCCAATTCAATAACCGTCTGAATATATGTCATATTCACCTCAACTCAGTACTTATTTCAACTGAATGATTTTCATGTTTCATTTATATATTCTTACAGGTAGTAGCTATAGTCAAAATGAAATGTTATTTCAATCATACTCCGTGTTGCAACGTTCGTGGTTTGTCAAAGATTAGTTTTATTTTAATAATTAAAATTCTTTTATAAAGTTATTAATAGATTTCGGATACACAGATGTATCTTCAGGTTGTATGACTTTAAAAATCGATATTATTTCAGATATTATTCTTTGATAATATAACATTTTCTAATTATGTTTTATTTTTATTTTTATCTCGATTTTGAGAAATAAAAATAGAATCGTTACTGTGCTTTATACATAGTATTTATTTATTTTTATAATGTATGTAGTTATCTTACAGATATCTAAGGAAAAAAAACACGCTTCATGTCGAGTACCGACGACACTAACGAACGACTTCAACTTAAATCTTCATATCGAGGTAAGAATTTTGTATTTATAAATAAAATGAAATAAATTTGAATTTTTTGCTTTTAATTACTGCAATATATTTAAGTGGATACTAATATTCTTTTGTCAATGTATGTCTTTTTTTTATACTTTAAAAATTCGATCAAATCTTATTTCATAATATAAATCCTGACTACGATTATGTAAAATCTTTGTTTTTATGTAATCAAACTTCAGTTTTATTTATTGCATATTCTACAAAGTTATGTAGTGTTCTTAATATAAAGCAAAGCAATTCTCCTTCACTGTATTATATTAATGTATTCATCTTGAAAGTAAAAACAAGATGATTGAAGATTATCAATGAATATTCAATAGAGAACAAACTTATTTTCATATTACCTTCTAAAGCTTCTGAGTATAAGTAACTATTTTATCTTTATTACCTATGTTTAGTTTTCTGCTTAAACTGTTTTACTAACTGCTAATTAAACTTGCTGTATGTTAATTAAAACTTCAATTTAATGTTTGCACGTCAAATAATCAATCATTAAGATTTTATATATCGATTTTATAGGCAAGATTTCTGAAAATATGGCGTTGTAAAACTCTTCTATTATTTATTCTTTCATCTATTCTTGAAAGGAACATATACCTTTAAAACTAATTTACTTTCAACACTTAATTATGATTCATTATTATAAGATCATCGTCAAGATTATTTGAGAAATGTATAGACTATGCTACTAGGAAAATACAAATAATCGTTAAGAAAGTATCTTGCATCTTCGAAGCGATTTGAAGACTCATAATAAAAATTTTCTTGAAATTAAGAGCATAGTTCGGATATGAATGCGAAAAATTTGATCTATTAGGTCCACACTCAAAACATATTCAATCAATTGATTGTAGGTTCAAATATTTTGTAGCAACATGCGTTATTCCTCAATATATATATATACAAAGTGAAAACCCATAGAGAAATAGATACATAAAAAAATAAACCATGCTAGACTCCAAACTGATAAAAATTCAAAGTGGAAAATATGAAATTCTTATATGCTCGTAAATGAACATCTTTTATTGTTTTATGTAAACGTTTTCTTCACAGGAGAGAAGTTCAAAATCGATGAGATCGAATATCTTTTTTCGTAAATATAGACATAATGTATGTCGTAGAATAAGTACAAACTCCTGTAGAGTCAAGTATATTTTGGAAGAAGTGTCGCCTTTTTATCATCTCTCACGTTGGATAAAACATTGTACACCAGCATATTTATTGTTGATGTATTCGATTTTGTATAAGATGTAAAGTGTTAAGATGAAATAAAATCTTCATTCAATTATCGATATATTTATAATGTTATTATAGTTGAAATTCTTTTTTTGTTTTTTATAAAGATGATAAACAAGGCGAAGGTCAATGGGGAGATTTTACTGGTCTTGAAAGCAAAGAAATTCGTCATGTATTTATTCGAAAGGTTTGTGCTGATCGAAATCTACAAAAAAACAAAAACTTATTTTAATAATTTTATATAAAATAGGTTTATTCAATTCTTATGATTCAATTAGCAATTACATTTGGTCTTATTGCATTATTTCATTTTATGTATGTGTTTTTTTTTTTAATAAAACATATTGAAAGTCAATAGATGATATACAATATAGACCATCGATTCATACTTTCGTGCGAAGTTCGAATGGTCAATGGCTTTATTTCGCATCATATATTGTTTTTGTGATTGTTTATCTTACATTGATTTGTTCGCAACGTCTAGCACGAAGGTTTCCACTTAATTTTATTTTCCTCGGCATTTTGGTAAAAAATAGAAAATTAAATTAAATTAATTAATAACTAAAATTTTATGTTTTAGACATTATCAATGGGTTATATGGTATGATTCGATTTAAAAATGATTTATTTATTAAATTTTTTTTTTTTCGTTTTATTAAAACTTTAGTTGGGTATGATTTCAGCATATTATAAAGTCGAATCAGTATTAATTGCTGTTGGTATAACAACAATTGTTTGTTTGGGTATTACATTATTTTCCTTCCAAACAAAATATGATTTTACATCATGTTTTGGAGTTTTATTTGTTGTTACATTGGCATTTTTAATTTTTGGAATTGTTTGTATTTTTACTTATTCAAGAGTAAGTATTATAGGAACAAAATAGAATGTCTATGTTATGTTTATTTTTTTCCTAAAAATATTTATTTATTTAAGATAATGTATACAATCTATGCTGGTCTTGGAGCTCTGATTTTTTCAATCGTAAGTTTTAATAATTAAGAAATTGAAAAACAAAATTATTTTCTATTGTTAGTTCTTGGCTATTGATACACAATTAATTATGGGTGGAAAACAACATGAAATAAGTGCTGAAGATTATGTTTTTGCATCATTGATGCTTTATATTGATGTTGTTTATATATTTTTATATCTTCTTATGTTGTTAGGTATTAGAAAATAAAATTATCTTTGAACAATAGTGTTAAAACATTTGTCATAATAATTAATTTTTATTATCGTACATAGTTTTCTTTCATTTCATCGTTGTCTACATATTCATTATTTTTCGCTTGTATTTGTCTATTGAAAGTTCAACTCTTAGTTTTATAAGATTTCATATATAAATAGTTCTATATGTATGTTTGATCATGTTTGTAAAAAAAAACCAAATTTATATTTGTGCGTTCATGTCATATCATTATTAGTTAGAAAACAAAGATAAAGAAAAAAATTCTTTAATTCAAGTTCCATGAAAGTGTGACGCAATTGAATCACTTTCTCTTCTCTTTTGTCAATTTTGCTTAGGATATGCCGGATGCTTTTTTTCGATAATGAATATATGATGAGCAAGTACACACTGAAGAGGCGCTTCATAGGTCAGTTGAAAAATCATGTCATACAAAAACCTGTCATCTACCTTTTTGATTAACGCAAATGAAAGAGCTCGTAAAAAAAACATGTAATTTCAAAACTCTAGAATTCTCTGAATGATGTTTGAATATATATGAAAGAAACTTTTTTTTTCTAAAAGTCAATGTGATTTTGGATGTGGGTGGAGATAAGAAAATCAACTACGCCCCCACAAACTCCATATCCTAGAGACATTTTATTAGCAGCTTTAAAAATGACGCATCAATTTTGAGATCGAGACATTATAAGAGTCGTGAATTCAAATGTTGTTATTATTGTATTTTTTTATTATCAAGTTTTCAGTAATCATCGGACTACACCAAAACCTTATTATATTTATGAAAAGTAAGCAAGCATACATTTTGTGATGTTAACACTATGCAATATGGATACATTATATTCTTTCAATAGGAGCTGATGTAGTGAGTACTGAAAAGTAACTTAGACTAAATTCATGTAAAGAAAGATAAAGGTTTTTCTTGAACAAAAGTAAATTATTTTCACCACTTTTTCCGATAGAAAAGCATCAAGCTCTACTAAAATTTTTGGTTTATCATTAAAAGAAGGATGTGAATGTGGATCTTGTTTTGGTCGACACGTTCATCCACATCCTAATTGCGCTGTAGTATTAAATAAGGAGGAAAATGCAGATTTCTGTACCTCTGAAATACGAAGAAGTACCAGAAGTATGGAAAGATATGCAGAAGTACAGAAGTCTGCTTTTTCCTCCTTAGTATTACGACAACAAATATATTCTATTCAGTAAGAATCAATCATGTATAAGCAAGAAAAGAAGAAATATAGAATATACAGACACGAATTGATTACCGATTCCATATTATATTACTAGTAAAAGAAAGTAACAAAAATCTGTTATTATACTGAACAAAAAGAGGAAATCAATTGTTCATTTCATCTTGGAAAAACAAAAGCTATAATTTTATGACACATCATTTTGATACAAACGCATAATTATCTAGATTTTCGAGTACTTTGTCCATATGCTGTCTAAAAAGATCATTGTAATAGAAATCTATGAAAAAAAAATCAAAACTTTATTATAGAGTAGATATTGCATTTTTTCTAAAGAATATTGTTCATAAATTAATTTAAAAAAATGAAAATATAACAAAAGTTGCCTTATTTTGTTAATAAAAATTTGTTCTGAAAATGTATCAGTATACATTTATCAACTGTCCTGCAATCTATTGTATTTCTTCAATATTTCACGAATTCGTTCGTGTGGTATAGCATAGATTTTATTTCCATAAAGTCCTTCCATTGTTTTTGCTGCAATCATGGCATTTAAAATAGCTTCTTCAGTTGCTTGAGTAACAGCTTCAAAAAAAGGATCCATTTCCTCATTCGGTAACATTTCTAAATTCAATAAACCTGTTTTTTTACCCATAACTTGTTGATTAGCTGTTGAAAATGCTATAAAAATATCACCTGATCCATTTCCACCTCGTCCTCCTACCAATCCTATTCCAAGAGGTACACGACGAACAAGTCGCTTTAACTGGTGCGGTAGAAAAGGTGCATCTGTAGCAACAATAACAATTATTGAACCTTGTTCTTGAGGTTTAGTTGCTCTTTTTCCATCAACTGGTAAAAGTTCATTTGACATTTCTTCACCTATAGGAACGCCAGCAATGGTCAATTGATTTCGTTTTCCATAATTAGATTGAACAAGAACACCAACTGTATATTCACCATGCTTTCGAGATGATGTTCCAATACCACCTTTAAAGTCATGTGTAATCATTCCTGTTCCTCCACCAACATTTCCTTCATCGACATAACCTGAACTTGCTGTTTCGATTGCATCGAAGAGATGTTCTTGTTTAACATGATATCCATTTATGTCATTAAGAAATCCATCCCATGTTTCAGTAACAACTGGTAAACTTAATGAAATATATTCACCTTCGGACAGAACTGAATCAGTCGATTGTCGAGCGATCCATTGAATAGCTGTATCTCGAACTGTTCCAACGCTATGAGTATTAGTTATTGCAATTATTGGTGCAAGAAGACCTGATTCTTCAAGCCATGTCGTTCCAGTCATTTCTCCGTTTCCATTCAATGAATACCATGCTCCAAATATTTGTTGTTCTTCAAGATTTCCCGAAATGTTCTTTCCTCGAGGAAGAACAACTGTAACGCCTGTACGAATAGGTTTTTTGCGGGTTGATTGTTCGTCTGAACCTTCATCAATTAATGTTCGATGTCCTACTTCAACACCACGAACATCAGTTATCGAATTCCAAGCACCAGGAGTTCCCTTGAAGGGAATGCCAATATCTCGTGCACGAACTCTAACAGACATTTTTGTTCTATTACATATGAGAAATGTTTGTTAAATTCAATATGCATTTTTAGAGTTTTTCTTAATGAATTTTAAAATGAAAGTAAAAATATATATGCAGAAAATTCATTTTTTATTGCAAACTTTCAACACAATATGTATTATGTATCGTCACGCAATCGAGACAATTTTTATAAAAGGTTCATAATTATTTATCGAAATCTAATTTCATTTATCATTTTTGTTTCAATTAAAGTTTATTGACGAATCCATTATTTTGTCAGTTCTATTCAGATGATATTATTACTGGATGAAGTTTCATTCAATAATAAAGCCATGTTTTCATTAAACACATAATTCTGCATAAAATTCGAATTACGGGTCGACATACTCTCAGTTCAAATTTCACATTGAACGAACGAAAGAACTGTTTCAACAGCTCAATTCCTGAAACTATGCTTTCCGAAAAGTGTTATTCTGTTTTAGGAATGACGTTTCAATAACATAACAACGGTTTTTTTGCTAATAGCCAGAAGTGCTTTTATCAAAACTAGAATAAAAATTGTTCGAGCAGATCCGAGAACGTTTTCAACAGCTTCGAACTAAAATTGAACTTGTTAACATCTGGTTCAAATTAAAACACCATATGCTTTTATCTATTATTTAATTTATCAATCAGATCTCGAAACTTACCACTAGAATGTAGTGAAAGTGAATGATTCTAGCATAACTCACGAAACAAAATATCATCTCTACTTTTTCTTCATAATACATTAATCGATCTTAAAATTCGTTAGCAAAGAATTTATTGTTGTGGTTATATTCTTCGTTAATAAAGATCAGAAGAAATGATTTTCTTCGTTCCTATCTTTCTGATTGTATTTCAATGTAACTTGTAGTGTATTATGCTAAGTACCTGCCACTATTCATGTTTCTAGCATGACTTTATCAACACACATTCATCGTTTTAGTCAATAGGCCAACTCAGTATTTCAAATAGTAGATGTATTAAACAGAAGCAAAATTTGCAGAATATCTACTGCCTCCGATGTTCACTTTGCTTCATACTGTGTTAAAAAAAACAGAGTGTACACAGTACATTTTGCTGAATAAAATAAAACTTTGTTTCCACAATGATGGTTGAGTTTAAAGAGAATTACTTTTGGTTACCAGCTTCTTCTAAGTAGTGATTTTTCATTATCTCTTCTGGAGTGGCTCTACACAATCCGCGCAACTCTACATCTGCATTCACCACCTTGTCTTCGGCGATCAAACAAACTAATGCATAATTAAAGTAACGAGTGTATGAAATACATGAAAATCGACAGAGCACATCAAAAATTTCATTTTCAAAAAATATTCTTTGTTAAATGAAAAATTAGGATTTTTGTTTCTGTTATTTTTAATGCATTATTTAGAAGAACTTTGTTTTTGTACACTTTGCTAGTATAAGCGAAGTGTACAAAAACAATTTTGTTTAAGATTTTCATTAGAAACGCTGGATTAAGTTATTTTTTGTTTGGTGCATTAAATTTAATTTGTTCTCTAAAAGTCTATTAAATCTTAATTAGTTTTTTGACTAACTACATTTCCTAATTCAACATTTAATTTTCTAATATGAGGACAAACCCTAAACTCTTCGGAATGTTTCTTATAAATAAATGATTTGTCAACAATTTTGAAATGAAAAAAGAATGATGAATCATAATGATGGTGATATATAGTCTCGAAATTTTGTTAAAATCGTCTAGACCCCTGATCATGACGTGTGTAATGTGTTGAAAACTTGCAATAAAAAAAATGAAATTTCTACGTAGTTTTACCTTTATTTTGAAGAAATGTTCGTAAGTCGTGTTGTTCTTATCTATTACAATATGAGACATTATTTAGTTCTTTTTTTCTTATGAAGGACATCTGATGTGCTATCTAAAACCAATGACTCATGCTTTCTACAGCAGATTTGAAAGCCAGTGATGCACTTTAAGAGTGGGTGTGTAGGTGTAGGTGCGAGGTGCGAGGTGTTGGTGTGGATGTACAGAATACTCACATCCATATCCACCACAGTCCTACGCACACGTCATATCCACGCTACACTAGCATTCACACGCACATACCATACTCATATCCTCAAGATATTTCTTCGGCTTCAAGCGAGAGACGAGTAAAGCCACACAGGCATTACATATCAATTGTTTTGATTACATATCTTTTAGCTTTATCACTTTTGTATCTCTTTCTCTTCTATGAAAAATATATACACACAAAAGATTGCTCTTTGAGAAGCAGCTACTCACCGCCACATGGCTTTCGATGACTTCTCTTCACATACACTCAATCATTTCGGCCGGTATTAAAAGCTGCAATACTTTTTCATATATCTCATTTATGTAGTTATATGTTACCCGATATTCTTTTCTTAAGTTATCCTGCACGCTGACCTATAGCTACTGTGCCAAGTAACTACGAAATTGGATAACCATGATGAGAGGATGTAAACTAAATGCTTTTATGTTCGATGTAATTAAGAGATAGCTTTCTCGTAAGTCAAAATATTGATTTCTCATGGTCATACAATAAATGAAAATGTAGAACGAAACTTCGAATGTCTTCATGCCCACATTTTTCTTCTTGTTAGATTCATTAACTTGGTCTCAGAAGTGTTATGAAGCACACTTGTTGGGTCCAATTTAAATCCCATATAGACCAATTGAGCTCAAAACCTGATATACGCAGTGTGTTGAGCTTAAAAGGTGGAGTGGATTAGCGTGTATAATACCAGTTTTTCTGATGGTTTATGAATGGCTTCACTCAGCATGTCTTCTGATAATGAAGATGAATCCTACACGCTGTTTTAAAAACCTAAATCGATACTTTTCTAGATTTCGTCAAGGGCTATAGCTTCAGAAAGTCATAGCAGTATCTTCTCATGAACCAAATCGACCATATTGTCATTAATACCCGCGACCGTATTGATGAGGCGGTAGCCTGTTTTGAATCTATGGGCTTTATTGTTACGCCACGCGGCTATCACACATTGGGTTCGATTAACCACACCATCGTTTTCAAGACCGACTATCTGGAACTGCTAGGCTATCCAGCGGACAAGTTGCCAGAACAACGACTAGACTTGGTACAGCGACCGAGAGGACTGATGTCCATCGTTCTCAAAACCAACGATGCCGATCAGGAACAAGCTACGCTCAAGACGCGTGGCTTGGCACCACGACCAACCTTGGCCTTTTCGCGACCGTTAGATTTGGGAAACGGCAAAAGCGCGGATGTCAAATTTCGTGTCACATCGCTTGAGCCCGATGCTATTCCTGGCGCATGGTTATACTACTGTCAGCATCTAACACCAGAACTCGTTTGGCGTCCTGTGTGGCAGACCCATAAGAATGGTTGTGTTGCCATGACTCGACTTAGCATCAATGTGAGTGATCCGAAGGCGGCAGCTGAGGTCTATTTACGTGCAATGGGCGCCACTAAGCTTGAGGAAACCAGTGAAAATGGTTATATCATCCGCTTACCCAGCTTCGAAATCACGCTGGTGGCTCAGAGTGACAAGCCATTGGGTATGTTTAAACTGGTGTTCGGCACCGAGTCCCTGGAAAAAGTGGTTGCCGCACTTGCACAGGGTGGGATAGACCACCACAATAAAGATGGACGCATCGTCGCCGACACGCTGTCGCGCATCGGTTGCATACTAGAATTCGAATCTGTTGTGTAATTCCAGCTCAAACAATTCCTTATACGTCAAACTATGCAAGCCATGATCAAGCGTACTCAGTTAATTTCTTTGTATTTTGTTAATTCTAACGTAATTTGTACATGCAGCAGTTTGATGATGTACTGCAATCCTATCGAAAACAATTGAAATCGGATTTTATGTTGAACTTTTTAGAAACACTTCAGAAAATGGTGAAATCCAAATTTTATTATGCAATTACCTCGTCATCATCACGAGGGTGTGGGTGTGAATATAGATTTGAATATAGCTTTTCATAACCACACTCACACCCACCCCATGCTCACACACCTGCACCCTCGTCAAGAGCTGAAGTCATAAGATTTTTGTTTGTTTTTGTCAGTCCGATAAACGATTTCACAGACATGCCGCAAGGCTTGCTCACGTTTGTTGAGAAGTCAACAATGAAAGTCATTGTCGTATCCTCTGCGTGATGTAGTATTTCTCTATATTTTACCGTATCTCTAAGTTCTGATGCGTTAGAAGAGCAGGCGTATGCCGTTGACCATCATGACGCATCGATCTTACGGACGGATGCTGATTATGATCACTATTTCTACCACAACAGATAATTCGTGCAAAATCACGTCGAAAAGGCGTCGATGTAATGAGACGAATATAGAATTTAAGTGAATAATTGATGGCCATTAGTGAAAGAAACCAATTGAGTAAAATTTTGTATTGTATGTGTCGCACTGGACAGTTAGTATTTCGATCGATGATATGATCACGGATGAGAAGGATATGCAGAACACTTATAGGCAATATGGTGAGTAGACCACTAAAGGAAAAAAAAACAATTATCAATGAGATTGTTTGCATACGGTGAGCATTGACGCTTAATGTTCGTTTATGAACCCGACGATAATGAAATCGATTATGAAGTAAGATGATAGACGAAATGCATGTAATCAAGTAGGGTACAACAAAAAAGAATACCATATGCATTATTGACCACAATATGGCTTCCCAGCGGCGAGCACGTGGACGAAATTCACAGAGGAAATTACTTTGTGATTTGGGATCATAGTAGAGAGAAAAATGAGGAGGAATCATGATCAAAATAACCGTAAGAATTATCAATGATATACGAGTGAGAACATTACGTCGAGTAATGAGAAAACGATAGCGACTAGGATAAAGAATCATAATGGATCGATCGACGAACATTGAAGCAAGAAGAAGATTTGATGCGCTTATTGGACCAATAATAATCGCATAGAAAATGCCACAGGGAAGAATCTGCCGAGGATCAAGTCCAACGAAAAACATCGTGATCAAACGCATCCAGAGAACACCTTTGTTAAAATAAAATAAAATAAAATAAAATAAAAGAGATGATTTTTCTTTCGTTCTGATTCCGATCTATACTAACTGATGAGATAGATAAATTCACAGGCTCCAATGGCGACAAAATAGAATGATGTGGGTTCTTTGCGGTTCTTTTTATTGAGCATGATAATGCTTTGAAACACATGACCAGGCAAACCGAGCACAACACACAAAAGTCCACATACACGCCAGACACTCTGTGAAATGAACAAAGCCTTGTCATGATTAAGATGGATAGAGCAGAGCACTGATGTGGTTGTATTCATGGTACTGTTCAGCGTCATCGTCCAACTTTCTGTCATCATCATTGTGATTTCATAACTACTGGAAAATGGATGTGTGTCTTGTCGAGAAGGATAATATTGACAGTATAAGATGCAATCCACGAGAAAAAAAATTATTTCTTTCGAATAGAACGGTAAGTGTGTGTAGAAAACCGTTGTCTTCTTTGTTGACTGGAATGAACAAATAAACGAGAAATGGAATAATAGTAATTATAATTAAACGATAGAAACGCTCTGTGCCTTGAGCAGAATGTTTTTTCAACAAACAAACACAACTACGCATCAAGAATGCACGGACTAAGTCAAAAAGTATTTTTTTGAGGCCTGTAAAAGATCGTTCAGGAACGGAATAAGAAAGAAAAAAAATCATGCCTCATTCATTCTTCTGCATCAATCTCATGTTGCTTTTGTTCTGATAAATAATTTAATTTTAAAAGATGAATTCATATGAGATCATTTGCTGATCTGTAGTCCACTGCATTCAATATATGTAGCATAAAACTGTCATTATCTTCTGTATAAAGACAACCGTAGATCTCTATTTGCTTTCATTCTGACGTTATTAAGGCGCGAAGCACTATATAGTATTCGATCGCGAAAATTCTTTTCCTCGTCGAATTCCGCATCCAAAGTCCATCATTTGTGTCGCAATGATCTCGAGAACGAAGAAACGTTTGAAACTCGTTCAAATGCTATCGACCAAGGTGATCTATCAAAAGGAGAAATTTTTTTCTGACTTTCGATATGTCACTCTGTTTGTCCGAAATAAAATTCGGACTTATGAATAATCCATGGGTCGTCTTGTTTGTCTTCGAGATAACGATTAGATAGCACCTCAGTTTCGCTCAGAGTGCGAGATAGGTGCGAAGCACTATATAAAACATACCTGTTATTGTAGACAGTAACATGGAACGTTTTGCATTGGATCTCGAGGATCATGAGAACGACAAAAGATGGTAGCAACTATCAATTTAATTACAACTCGATGCAGCTAGCTTTAGCTGCTGAAACAGACACCTAGTTACGTTTTCATTATCTCAGAGATGAGCAAGACGATCCACGGATTATTTTGAATGAATTCAATCAATATTCCAAATCTTTTTACCAAATTCATTGAATAATGGGTGTGGCTGTTGGCATAGATTTAGAGGAGACTCACACCCACATCCACACCCACACCATATAATCTTCAAAATAATAAATTCGCTCGATTTGACTCAAGATTGAGTAAAATAATTACAAAAATAAAACATACCTTTATTAATAATTTCAAACCAATACCTTTTCTATATTTTTCAAATGCATCGAATTCTTACGTCAGTAGTGATTGCTATACATGACGATCAAAACTCTTTTCATTTTTCTTCTTCTCCTTCATATCATACTCGTACGTATTCATCAGAAAACACAAAACATCAGACAACAAGTAAACAAAAACAATAAGAATTTAGGTTCTTCTTCAGATTATGCAAGCGCTAAACACACATCAACTGGCACAACAATGCGTGAGAATGAAGGAGAGTGCGTAATCTGAAGAAGTAAAAATTTTATTGAAAATAATCCAACAAAAATTATGAAAAAATTTCAAAATTCTGGATTAAATATTGCTTCGTGTATAAATATAAAAAGAAAATAAGAAGAATATTTCTCATAAAGATAAAATGTTTATCCTGAACGACTAATTGTTTTTTTTTAATATTTTTGTTGTCGGTAATGTTCTATAAAAGCAAAACAAATATTTTATTTAAGGAGAAGATATTTCATACACTCACCCAACAGTATTCTCATTATTTTCATGTTGACGTTTACTAATCATTTCACGTGTCATGATATTATCTGAAAATATTCAAATATCATTAATAATTCACTTAATATGAAACAAAACAAAAGCATACATTGTCCTAATTCATTATTTTCTGGATAAGAAGCTTGCATCATACTAATCGATTCATTTACTAAAATATTAACAAAAAACAAAATATCAACGATTCAATAAATAACTTTCTTACTATCAATCAATTCAATTGATTGTACAATTGAATATGGATACAATTTTGGATGATTAAAATTATTCATTCCATCATCTTGCAGACAAAATTGTACACGAAAATGATTTAAATCTAAACAGAACAATATTTTATACTAGTCATGTTACAAATCATTTTTTCATCTGTTTAATTTTGTGACATGTAAAAACGTTTTTCAAAGTAAAACGGTGAGTGTAAATTTTTCTTATCTCAGGTCAGTAGGTATAAATCTGTTCACACACAGAAAATATGTTGAGCAGCAATAATAACATTCCTTAGTACATTCTAAAAACTTGTCAAGTATTCCATCAACTTCAAATATTCTAGATTTTGATTTTTGAAACATTTAAATAAAGTTCGTATCAATATCAATGATTAGTTATGTCAAAGTCAACACATGCAACGTATTATATAAAAAGTAAGAACTGATTGATTTCTAAATTTAGATAAAAATCAATAGGAAAATTTCAGACTATATTGTGACACAAGATAGTGCACTGAATGATTCAATAATTGTGTACAGTAGATTAATATGGAAGTTAAGTCAACAAAAAAGATAGATAAAACTAATAATGAATTAGACAAAAAAAGAAGAAATAAAAACATCAAATAAATAATTAACAAATACTAACTAACCAAATTAAAGTTAGAACGTCAGCAAAAATAAAATAAAAGAAAGAAATGTATATCCGATATGCAGAAATAAATAGCATCGAGGATACTCTGACGGTCAAATATCTTTAAATAGGAATTTTCAACCAATAAAAACTATTTACATAACGTAATTTGCATAAACAAAAGACCGAAGACGAACTGAACCTCTTTTTCAAAAGCGAAGTAAAACTAAACCGGACTTGAATCAGTGAAATCATTTTCGATTTGGTCTCGAATATGAATTCTACGTTTCAGCTTATTAAAAGCTACATTAATAAATTGTTTTGTGAAATTGAATGAGTATAAATCAAGAATTTTGCCAAATTTATCATTCTAATACCTGTGATATTAACTTGTTTTGATAATGGTTTCAATTGAAGACCATCATGAATCTGTTGCTGATTAGATAAACTTTCCTTGATAATAGTTAACTGCAGAGGATATCTAAAAAAGGAGAATTGTTTTTTTAATTATTTTTATCTTAAACATAATAGATATCAATCATCGAATATATAACTTACTTAATTAAATCAAGATTAACTTCATAATATGCCGGATTTTTAGTATCATTTTCAATAGCAATTTTAAATATATTACTTAAATTTTCATTTGTTATTAATGTAACTTCAAGTTGTTTGCGACCAGATTTTAACGTACAATGATATATTTGTGGAATCTATATATTAAGAGAAAAAAAAAATTAATCCATATTTTCTTTTTCCAATATATTACTTCCA